TGCCGATCAGTCCCACGAATCAAACCGCTAACTATCGAAAGTGTAAACCCTTTCTAGCGGGGGGCTCCTGTAGTGACCTACTTTTGTCAACAGAACACGATTGGTTCGATGAAAACAATTATTATTATAACCAATTGTACCAGTGACTGTTTTACTGTGCTCGTTTGTTTAACTGTGCTAATGACAGCCATTATACTTACTATCCCGTTGACTTCGAACTTGTACGAATCCGGTTACGCTCAGTAACCACGCTTGTACTCCTTTGGCACGATCTCGGTATTCTTTCGATACCACGAGATCGCCAACAAATATATACGACTACTACAATCATCTGCCTTCTGATATTTTCGCCTATCGGAATTTTATTGGTCTATTGGCAAGTAGTCTGGTAGCGGTGTTCTTAGTCAAGCTCAACTCGACACCACGCTACAATTGTTTCGTTCTGCTGCAGTCCAAGCCGTGAGGTGAATCAGGTTTTGCTAGACAGTCCCATTACTTGGTCGCAAAGTGGTTGATGTCTAATCCTGACAGACTTGAATGCATCCTTGGTAGACTGGAAAAATTTTAGAAATAAATTATTATACAACTCCTTTGAGCATAAAATAGTTGATGTATTTATCACACATACTCCAGTGCAACATGCGAAACAAGCGACTAGGTACAACCCAGACTCTTAATCATCATTAATGGATCTTATGTCGACCCATTATAAGGATGACGTCATGAACCTCTAACTCATTCCAGCCCTAGGTAAAAGTGACCATGCAAATCTAAGCTTTGACTTCCATGTAGTTGTGAAGAACGAGCGCGTCAGACCAATCCTTACCTAACGTATGGAAACCAAATATAGAAGATATTATACATTCCGCATCGTCAGCAGATTAAGCAATACAGCCAGATTCCCGAATCGAAACAGCTTGAGATGTATTTCAAAATTTACATTAAAAAGTTACTTTACACTACATCCCTTGGGCTACACCAGGGGTTGGGGCGAGAATCTCTCCTCCATGGTTCACTAGGAAGGTTCGTACCATTCTCCGTAAGAGATAAAGAATGTGGGAAAGGTTCAGGTTACTGGATACTGACGATAAAATAATTGTACGAAAAAAATTGTTGAAGAATCTATAGATGCCCGAAACGCTTGTATTCGTATATAAACCAAAGAACTAAAAGAAGAGGAAACATTCCAGAACCGTATGGAAACAGTAGTGCCATATCATTATCAGATGACGACTATGGTAATGGCCAGGTATTCTCAAACTGCTTTAGCAATGTATATACGGGAGAAACATCTATCCCGTCAGTCCATACAAACCTCCACATACAAACACTAGACATCGTGACCATTAAAGAATTCAATGTCTTTAGTCTCCAAAATAGGCTGGATATATCAAATTTGCGGGGCCCGATGAACTGAATTCTAAATCAATAAGGGAATTAGATAACCTCGTTGCGAACCCTACATATATATATTAATCTATCCGTAACCCAGGGTTGATATCCAAAAGACTGGAAAAATGCCATAGTAAGTGTTGTCTTCAAAACAGGTACGAAATACAAACCTGAGAATTACTGACCAGTTAGCCATATTGGTGTGTTTTTTAATATATAAGTTAAGAAATGTCGGGGTTAGGGGTAATCAATTGATGTGCCGTTAATAGTAGTAAAAACACAAGTATTATGCTAAAAGGTAACTAGATAGCTGGAACCTTTGGACTACGTTGTGCAACTGTGTGGCATCTGTCATTGTTACGGAATAGGTCGGCGAATTAATATATAATGTGGCAGGCATAATCAAAAGCATAAACTCGACGGACGGCTGTGAAAATTTGCGGATGTGAAATAGAGCAGTACAGGAATTTAATAACAGTAGTGAGAGCAGTAAAAAAGCATGATCATAGTTTAAGATATATGTGGATGATGGAAATGCATAGAACCTTTGAATTCCCAATGTATAAAATGATAGTTATATATGGTTCATAGGTTATTAAACAAGAAACAGGGTTACTTGAACTCACAATAGTATGGTTCTATTTTTTTGTAGTCAACTATTTTGTGTTGCCAATTAATAGTCCACAAATACTGCGGAAACGTTCTATTTTTCCCATCACATACACTGAAGATATAATTTTTTAGAGATATTGAATGAAAGCCGAACCATTTATTTCCAGCACTGTCTGTGAAGGTAGTGGTAGTGAACATGTAAGATGCATGGCCTAATAATTGACCTTAGACTCAGTAATATACACTAATAAGGGTGGCTAACAAGCTTTCTACTTTAGCAACCTTTCTTCTTAGCTGTGAATCCCTCGAAATGTACATTAAATTATCCAAACCAAGTAATGAAACTGTGATACACCGTTCAGGTATTTCAAACCTTTGTGAACAACGCTCTTTAACATGAATAAAGATGTAGATATTAAAGACAAGGTTGGACCTGATAGCTACAGGTGAACTCGGCATCCAGTAGAAAGTTAATTTAAAAAATACATTTTTTAAATATTCCAGTGAGCAGTAAAATCGTATTTCTGACGTTTTGGGACCCAAAATAAGTTGATTCTTCAGAGTAAATAAGTAGACCTACGATGTAGAAGGCAAAGCCTGTATGATTGAACGTTTCACCGGGATACACCTTTCCACGCTTGTCTATGTCAACGTGAGATTTTTAAGTTTCAAAGCCGATCTTTACTAATTTCAGGTTATCCTAGAATAACTTGTCGTAAACTATATTTCTTGTACGCCGACATGCCTTGTGCAAACTTTTATTATCTGAGAATAAATTAATATCATCATACAAGGGCCTCGGATTTCTGATAACAGCTTAAACTATTATTGACATGAGTAAAGAATAGGCCAATTATGTAATCCCTGAAGCTGCCGACTTAGGCTCAAAAAGCAGAACCAGTGGTAAAGACATAGCACGAAAATTATTAGAAAGAAAATTAGTTCAATCTAGTAACTAATATCCAACATCAGATTTTTAAGATCCGGTAGTAATAGAAGGTGAGCAACAGGATTACTTGCTTTGAGGAAATATAAAAGACCATGAGTAGTAGATAACCATTACTGTAACTGAAAGTTGGTGAGTTGGAGTTTAAGTTAAATGTTATACACGAATGAGGTTGAACGAAACCATACCTACTAAATGTACATAGACTGTGGGAAGACATGCGTTGAGGGATATGCTAATTAGTAATCTGCTGCAAGATTCTAGAAACGACCTGTAATAACGGATGGTCCATAGACGTAAACCTTAACTTCAAATTCACATTAATAAACACATTTTCTAGACAGTCATATAAATTAAAGATTCTGAAAACAGCGTGAATACTTTAAGTACGATTGTTGAAATATCTTAATATATCCAAAACTTTGTAGTTCTACCACATGCACACCGACGTCAGAAGCCCTGTGTGTTTTTATTGTATTGATTAAGACTGATGTGGTCGATAACGTGCAGTGGATTTAGAGCTCTGTAATTGCCCAACTGGACTACATTTGATACAATCGGAATCAGCCGCAAGGAAACACTAGATTCGCCTCTCCGAATAACTTAATTGAACTACAGACAACGGCTAAACACTTGAGCAGAACCCATTTGTGTGTGTCTTTGCGAATATATGAGCTTTATTGTTTTGGCACATACTTAGTTGTTTGAGGTCAACTCTTAACTAATCAACACAAGTTAATACACATGTTTCTCCCTATGATCATTTCTTTGTTTTTTCCCTATATTTATCACTTCTTATGTTGTCAACAGTACCTACGTAAGTTATTTTCCTTTTGATCTGCTTATGATTAATATTACCATATTATCTAAAGTCATAAATTTGGGATCGGCCCTCTGATGCCGGTAGAGTTACGATTGTTGTTCCATTTTTCGCTTCATATGACATTTTTGGACAATTCAGGGATGGCCATATTAAAGACAATGCGACTAATTTTTTGTTCAGTTTTATTGTTGATGAAAAAACCGTGATTTTGTAGTCGTGCGTATATTTTGAATGGGGAATTAAATATAGGTTTTAAACTTTCTCAAAAGAAATAGCGAAGTATATTTGAGTAGGGAAAGTCCGGGTCACTTGAATCAATTTTCTCGCACTGAACACGTCGGTACGCAATAATCGGTGCAAAATAGCAGCTTCTCCGTGAACGAGTAAGGACTGTAGGAATAATGTTTCACTAACTTATTGTTGGCTCGTGAAAGCTGATGTTCTATTAAGAACTAAAGGCTACCTGTATACGTAGCCTATATTGACTTCAGCAAAATTTTTGACAAAGTTCAACACAACCGGCTGTTATATAAGTTAAGAAATGTCGGGGTTAGAGGTAATCTATTGATGTGGATAAAAGACTTACTGGTTGAGCGCCAACAAAGAGTGCGGGTGAACTCTAGGTTATCTAGCTGGGAAACTGTGCTTAATGGAGTGCCCCAGGGTACAGTTTTGGGGTCAATTTTATTCCTTTTATACGTAAATAACCTTCCTCATCTACTATCATTACCGGTCTTGCTATATGCTGAAGATATCAAGGCATGGAGAGCGATACGAAGTAAGCGTGACAGCTTAGAACTCCAAAATGACCTGTAGAAACTATCTGATTGGTCTCAAACCTGTCAGTCGCCGACAAATACTTCCAAGTGTATTGTGATGCACATCGGTCATCAAGGTACAGATACATACACGATGAATAACACTGAGCTACCTGTTGTCCAGACACACAATGACATAGGAGTCATCGTTAGCTAAGACTTAAAGACTACTGCACACTGCCGAGCAACGTTTTCAGAACTTTATGGTCAGTACGTAGGCCTTTTAGTCATGTCGACACTTAAACGTTTTTGACTTTGCATACAGTATTTGTGCGTCCTAAACTTGAGTACTGCATGCAAGCGGCTAGCACCTGCTTAAAAAAGGATATTGGGCTTTTAGAAAAGGTTCAGAGAACAGTAACAAAGCTCGTTCAAATGTATTGAATATTGGAAGACCTTGCAATATTGTCGTGGTGACAAAACGCAGATACTTAATTGTAAGCTCACAAATTTTCCTAATTCTTGCACTTTATGATACCATCTGAGAAATTCTGTCGCGATTAGTTGAAGACATTCTATTTGTCTTTTAGTCGTTGCCTCTACTCTTCTTCTTGTCAAATTTCCATCCAGATTTGCTTTACCAGTCTGTCATTACAACGACTGGCGCATACAAACTCCTTTACACTTACTGTATTCTGGATGTAACAAACTCTCACTGATGCTTTTAAAAAATAGCTGCACGCGTATAAGCGTTACGTGCATCACGTGATCCCGATTTTGGGGAAGCTACAATGAAAAGTTTTAGGGAAATGGCACCAAAACCGCGAAATTTCCCCAGTTCAGGGGAAACCCCCCAATATTTCCTCAGAATCTCATTAAACTTCGGTGAAATGCGGTTATATTTATTAACAAAACCTTAAGTTTTTTCACAATTTTTTGGAAACTGTGTTTTTCCCCAGTTGAGAGCTTGGGATGTTTATGACGACGGCTTAGTCACTTTCCTTTCCAATGTATCCAGTCTCCCAAGTTTGGGTAAGCCACCAAAGTCAAATGGTGACATCTCCCGAAAATTTCTTCAAAAGTTTCTAAAGCCGTTTCCCCAAAATTTGAAGATCGGGTATGAATACATTGATGCAAAACCGTGAAATTTTAACATGGAAAAGCACAAAACACAATAGTTTTGAGGACTGTACTTTGCTCAATCTTGATTCACATGTATATGTGCACAATAGTGAACATTCATTATATAAAGTTAGATCAGTTGATCTTATTATACTATTGAAGTGCTCCTAAAGCCAAAATATCACTTAGTCGTGGTTGACGCTAAAAATAGGTAGAATCTATACAACATTAAGGATTAAGATATTTACGGCCTAATTATTTTTCACAGAGTTGTCCTTACCAGTAAAGAAACCTGATATTGCCTCAGCAATTACGTAACAAGTCATTACAAACAAAATAAGTAGGGCGCTGTATCTGGTATCGAACCTCTTCGTATGAAGTTACATCATGGCATGTTGCATTAGGAGTATGCAAATGCTATGAGTTCCTGCTCCCTACAGCTATTCTAATGTTGCATCGAGCATTTGGCACAGATTACATGACGTAGCCATTGGATGTCAGACAGAGTGCTCAAAAATTATTTCAGAAAGCATTAGTGGGCCTCTGCAAGTGTTGTGTAGAATAAAACATCTAACATTACATTGATGTACAAATGATAAAACGAAGTCTTCCCGATCCAAACCAGCTCAAGATACCAATATAACACTCTATAAAACTTAGACAGTAATTGGCTCTGAAGAAAAGTCTCATTAACCAATATTCAAGAACCTGATTAAGCGGACCTGAGGGTAAACACCAAATTCAATACTATTCATGACGATGAATACTTAAGCTTTGGATGAAGACGACTACTTACATTCGATAAAGTGTCTCGCTTGTTGATAATATCGTTTCATGAAGGGTATCTCCTGCACCGCAAATCTGATGGTCCGTGAGTAGATAGAAAAATACACTTCACCGAAGAGACACATCCCCCGCCTACCCTCTCTGATCTCGTGATCAGGTCAATTATGATTGCCTTGTCAATAGGCCTACGCATTTGACCCCCGATAATCAGTAGATTAAAGTCACATCAATAAAATACTCTGTATATGGTCAAGCTAATTTGTGTATGGCATTGTGATAAGTAATGTCCAGTTGATGTTCACTCTTGAAGACACTGCACTTCTTGAAAAATGTAACTGGTTTTTCTCGACAGAATCTACCGGTTTATCCATGAATCACCAAAGTTTCTCTCCTTTAAAACTATTCGAGGTATAAATAGCCGAGTCACTTGGTTGTATAACATCTGGAAGTGACTCGATGCATCCGAGTCAAATTTACAGTTTTCATTTAAGAATGGATGACTGACTGCCCTTATATCAACTTTTTATATGGTTGGATGGGCGATGTCATCTGCTGCAACCGATTAGAATATAACGACAATATGATCACATCGCGCTTTGGTAATACATTTCACTCCTTTAATATATCTTTGCTTTTGTTGTTCGTAAAGGCCAATATTTTAGGAGCGTTTCACATTTAAATAAGACTGTTGTTGTTGCTGTTGCTAATATTGTACGGAATAACTAAAGAATTTTATTAAATATCAAACTAATAGACTATATTGGTTATTCATATAGTTTAATTTGATGTGCAGTGATCGCGGAAGTGGAAACTTATTTGAGTTAAGTTGGTTGGGCGAAGGATCAAGCCTTAAGGAATTCCTTTATGCAACTAAGAAAACCTTCCTAATAAGTCTTCTTATAATGGTTCTTTAGTCCGTAATTCTGGTAAATGTTGTGCTGATGGTCATTTAGGTTGGTCTAAAGAGAAAATCCGGTTGAAGAGTTTGAGAAGTGAACTCACACTTGTACGAATGATGTATTTTGGAGAACAGAGATCACACTGAAAACTTTTGAGACTGTTTGAAATATGTATGAACGATGGTGAAAACGATTAACTCGTACAATTGTTAGGGTGAAGTTAGGGAGGCCTTCTAAAGTCATGTTGTCGGTATCGATTGACGAATGTAGTGAAATTTTGTAAATCCTTAACCATTTATTCAGACAAACTCGCATATTAGCCCATAAGATGATTAAGAACCTCGTCGTTAAGCTTAGTGTGCATCACACTGATACATTTTTTGTGTAACTTAGCCATCAGAATAGAGTATTTCACATTTGAAACACAGCAGGGACAATCTGAATTTAGATAATGCAAGGAGAAGTCGAAGGCTATCAGAATTTTGTGATATATTTGCGCCATACAATCTGAGTTCTTTACAAACATTGGAAGGAGTAATGAAAGCTTTGGATGAAGACGACTACTTACATTCGATAAAGTGTCTCGCTTGTTGATAATATCGTTTCATGAAGGGTATCTCCTGCACCGCAAATCTGATGGTCCGTGAGTAGATAGAAAAATACACTTCACCGAAGAGACACATCCCCCGCCTACCCTCTCTGATCTCGTGATCAGGTCAATTATGATTGCCTTGTCAATAGGCCTACGCATTTGACCCCCGATAATCAGTAGATTAAAGTCACATCAATAAAATACTCTGTATATGGTCAAGCTAATTTGTGTATGGCATTGTGATAAGTAATGTCCAGTTGATGTTCACTCTTGAAGACACTGCACTTCTTGAAAAATGTAACTGGTTTTTCTCGACAGAATCTACCGGTTTATCCATGAATCACCAAAGTTTCTCTCCTTTAAAACTATTCGAGGTATAAATAGCCGAGTCACTTGGTTGTACAACATCTGGAAGTGACTCGATGCATCCGAGTCAAATTTACAGTTTTCATTTAAGAATGGATGACTGACTGCCCTTATATCAACATTTTATATGGTTGGATGGGCCACTGCATCTGTTTAATAGATCATCGCATGAATGAATTAAATATGAGGATCGCATGATCACAACTCTCTATATGTGGAAGTTATCGAAATCCACTCACATCACCTCAACCGAGTACTAAGTCCATGACAAATGAATGATTTAGTAGGATAATCAATACAACAACCAGCTCGGTGTCTGCCTCTTTGCATTCAAGCCGGTGACGCACCATTTAGTATGCACCTGACTCGTGTCCCCATGCCTCAACAGCCCATATTTTCCATGTAAACGACGCCTACTTCCGTCACAGTTAAGTCTGTCGGTTCTATAAAAATAAAAACATCTGAATTGGCAACGGCACCAAGATTTTACGTCTTCTGTTTTAAGCTCCAACATCCTATTAAGAAGGCAGCAAGCATTCGTGTCCCAAAACGGTTAGTTATGTCAGGTTCTTCCCCGTACCACCAAGTGGTTTTCGAATCAGTTTGCTCCAAACTTTGACAATCAGCAAACCCTTCAGAATAAGATTTCCACTGCTTCGATGTCACTCGTTTATTCACGTTTTTCTAGTCTTAATATGATCAACTAAACAAAGGTCAATGTGAACGTAGATTGAAGTTCCATGCTGTTTGTACAAATTTCTTGACAGTAGCTTAAGCGTTTCAGTGGAAGTAACAATGGCTTGCGAAAAATCGACCGAGGACTTTGTGTACTAACAAAAACTACTGTTTACGAAAGTAGCTTACGTATTAGTGACTCAACGTGGTTTAGATCGTGGTCAAATTTAGTTTCCAAGGCTTTCAACTATTTCAAAACAGCCGACCCATTAGAAATGACATGGTGTATCCTGAAATTTTTTTCGTACATTTCCCTTCTTAGAGGTTCGGTATAACAACAGACAGTTGGTCTTCATTTGCAGCTGTTCTTACGTGACTTCTACATATCCCTCTTAACCAATGTTTGGTGTTATTATATTTCTTAGATAAGTCTTTCAGTATCTGATACAATCTTCGCCGAATATTTGTAGGGGTTTCAAAGTTATAACCGGTTACTATATTAACTTTGACGAAATCAGTAAAATTAGTTCCTTGGAGTGGACACATCGACTCAAAGTATTAAAATCAACTACAATTTCGACAAATCTAGTCTACTTATAAAAATCTTAGTTAACAATAAGTTTTCCTTTCGAGTAAGGATATCTCAAAACATATGGCAAAAATATCCAATATCTTTGTGTTGAGCTAATACTAACCAGGTGTAGTAGCTTCAACTATAGTTAGACAAATCGCTCAACTCCAACAGCTATAATGAATTCGACAAATTTGAAGATTTGTACACTATGAGCATAAGTGTACGAGCTGAGTAAAAGATCGATAACTTAATAAAAAAAAGTTGTTATTCTAGGATATTTTAAGAGTAGAAAAGGAGATATTCTAATCCAAAAGGTGGTCGGTATATCTGCTAGGATGACAGACAAGCTCGAAGTTACTCTGCATCCTACTGTTTTACATAAACAGTGTCACTGTAAAGACCAAAACCAAACTATGTTAGTTATCTTTGAGTCATTTCTGCCACTTATGAAGTTAACCTAAGTGATCGTAACGTCTAAAGACAAACAATTATTTGTTTTACATAAGCAACGGCTCAAATCATATTTTGGTAAGCAGAGTATTGATAGCATAACAATGAAAACATGTTAACTTGATGCAAATATTTTCACAAAATATTTCGAACTTGTCATCGTCTATTCTATTAAAACCTCGTATTGAGGTGATCTACTAAACTACCAATCTCATTGTCGACATTTATTTTTATTACAAGAAGGCACCAAATACATATGCGCCACACAGATCTCATTTGATATGTGTGAGGGCTGTGATACTGCCCGGATGCCCAGACCGAAGCAGGATGCCCAGACATTGTCGACAAGTGAATGGAATATGATTAATCACACTAGACTTTGTAATCCTCACCTACTTATGGGCAATAACTACAGCTTAATATGAGATCCCACTCGAGAAACGATGTTTAGAGCCACATAGCTGTTATTTTGTAACAGGTCCAAATCAAACAACTGTCTATTCTCTGCAACCTTCCACAGAGAAAATATTAGTCGTTTACTAAATATTGATATCAAAATGCAGGTTGCCAAGGTCGTCTTTTCAAAATGCTGACTGTTATTGTTAAAAACGCGTAAAGATTTAAGTTGAAGATGAGATCTTTTTAAAGTTGACTTCGGCAAGTTAATGGTCTATGATGAGACTGCTTCGACTCTCACTCCTTTTTTTTTCATCTGAACAGACGAGTATTTTCGTAAGTGTTGCATATTCGTAATTAGCAAAAATGGTGCTCGTCTTAATATACAGAGTGAGAGCAGTTATCGAATGAACTAAGTCGAGATTACAACATCAGAATTATTCTATACGATGATAATGTTATTACTTTCGTTTTCTTGATTTGTTTAGTAAATCGATACTAATTCCACTATGCACAACGTACTGCGGTGAAAACAAAACTGCTCAGAATGCGAAACGCGAGCAAACTTTACTAGCTTACCAAGGATAATTAGCTTATATTTATAAAAAAAACACTGATGCGATATGAAAATACCAATCCAACTGCTATAAAAATCAGTACCAAATGTATAAAAGCTGGTCACTTGAAAGCCATGAAGTTTAAACTCAACCAAGTTAAATTTGTGTGGGTTTCATATGATAACATAAAGTAGTGTTAGTGCTAGGGCCTAAATAAGAAGTTCATTCATGTCAATCATTAGATTATATACTAATTAGTAAGAAATGTAATGCAATGTAGAAAGAAATGCAATTTTGACCTTGTAAAGCATAGAAACTGTTCATTGCTAAAAGCCGGAATAATATATACAAATTATACACTGATTTATAGTAAATCTGACAATTGTAATGTTTGGTACAAAGTAGACATATAAAGTGAATCATAGATCTCCTAATTTTCATCTTTTGTTGTTGAAATTTTACATGTTTATTTTAGGATTCCTTCAAAAAACGATTTGTTTTGAACTAAGAGTAGCTCGAAATAATGTCGAAATCTGTTAGTGGCAAACGTAAAACTAAAGGAAAGAAAACTATAGCAAAGGACCCTGTGAATGAAGCATTAGAAAAAACACAGAAAGACGTAAGAAATTTGCGGGAAGAAGTAAGCGGAAAAATACGTATTGCAGAAAATGCAGAAAATCGTCGTTATCAAGCATGTATTGAGAAATTGGAGTCTGTAAGAAATTATGATGAATTGAAAAAGTCTACACAAAACCATACTGCTTTCCTAATCACAGAAAATGAAATCAAAGTAACCAATCTTCGAGATGAAATAGAAAAACTAACCACAAAACTAGATGAGGCTGATAAATTAATTGAGATAAGAAATAATGAACTGAAAAGTTTACGTCAAGAATTCCTAAATTGTATAGCAGAAAAAGATTCGAAAATCAGCACATTAGAACAAAAATTAAAAGAACAGGCTGCATTATTTCGTGACGTTATATCACAAGCGTTCAATCAACTAATTGAACAACTAAGTATCGACTATGAAAATGTTCATAATAACTACAAAATATTTTCTCAGCCTACAAATGATCTAATAGAATTGGAGTTTTTAAGTCCACCATTTTTAGATGAAGAATCTGTTGAATATATATAATTACCTATCTAGATGTATACAGTGATGTAGCATTTTCTCAAAATATTCATAAGAATAATTTATGTAAAAATAATTCAAGTATAAAAAAGAGGCTACAATTCTGCTACGACAGTTATTTCTTCTTTAATAAGACCCGTGAAAAGGAGGAAATATATGAAGCATAACTGCATTGTTTTGATAGATGTTAAACTATTTCCAATAGCAAAATATCTTTACTAATTAATTCTCGAAAAAACAACTAGTCTGTGAAGTTGTTATTGGAAAAAAATGCAACTCATCCAGAAATTAATGACTTTTTATATCAAACGAATAATCAATGACTTAACCTTTTATATTATTGAAAAATACATTTTTATAGGTAAGGAAATGAAGTGTGAGAATGTTTGTCCGGGGAATAAGAATGAACAACCATGAAGCCACTATTCCGAAATAAGATGAGTCCTCTACAGTTAACGATATTGTTGAGATACCAATCTTAGCTGGGACGAAGTGCAGATTAACTGTTTTTAAAACACAGCAACTTAAAATAACAGATTACTTCAGCTAAATGCACAAACTCTAGAAGATCAGTTGTACATAAAACTTGATTGTGTCAAGTGTTTTTGACAGATGACAGGCCATGAAAACCGTCACCGCTTCTAAAGCATTAAGCAAGTATACTCCATATAGAAGAGGGGGATAAATTGTAATTTTGCTACAATGTAACGAAATAACAGTGTAGTTAATTTAATTTACACTATATAGTTTTATATCTTACCAATGACATTCTAGAAGTACCTTTGAGGGAAGTGTGCGGATATTTGTCACTTGAAGAACAACCTGCTAACCTTGAGTATGTAAAAATTTACAATTCCTAAGTGTCAATATAGGGACTTATGTCATGCAACTATTGGGAAGGCGAAAAACCAAGTGAGACGGAAGATAAAGTCTATTGAAAGCACTATAAACTCCAAAAACTGGGTGCCCAGAAGTAGTTATTTATTCTTCAGTTATGTATATTAAGGTAAGAATACATCGTTAACAACCATCGTTAGATACCAAACACTGGTCCCATCGCGTCTTCCTGTCCCTCACTAAACGTAGAGATATAATCATAAGAGCTCTCATAAGCGAGCGTAAAGGTTAGAATTTCAAGAGACGGATAAAACTAATTTCACTGTGAACATGAGATTAGTTGATTCAGCCAATATAAACATAAGCGTGGTTGTAAAAGGTTGAACACTTTGAGGCAAGTCCTAATTTCGACCTGAATCCAGAGACCGTCGTTCTATATTATCCCACAATTCCCAGCGAATTAAATCCAATTGATTTACGTTGTGTCAGGTAGAGTAAAATTAAGAGCCGATTACAAATGTTTGTAGAACAGCGTATTTCAAGCAACTAATGGAATTAAAGAGAACCAGAGGAACGCAACAGCGAACCATTTAAAACAGACGGGAAGTAAGTCAATATTCAATGGACAAATGAACTTAATGAAGGTGTATATTCATCAATGGTTCGATTCAAATGTTAACAGAAACATAAAATAAGGCAATGCGAACGCAACTGTAGTTATTTTAGGCATGTGAAACTCATTCTAAAATACGTGCTTCATATTTAAGAAATAGTTTTAAATGAGACTGTCTGTTACACCTACTCATCGATAAAAAATAAAAGCGAAAGAAATAACTTATTTTTAATAGACAATTTGTAATACAATTATAAATGAAAGCATTACACGAGCTACGCTTACTTACTGTTATACATATGACATAATCTAAAACGATTTTTTAAAATATGAAAACGGAAAAAGTACACATGTTAAAGAAGCTGATAAATTTTTTAGAACTAATAAATAAACATTTATTCACAAGTACAAATATGTGTATCAATATTACCTGTACAGCAGAAATTTATTAATTAATTAAGTCATAGACTTCATCACTTCACATTTGCACATAGATCCTCTTCACTATATTGATTGTACCGATTACGAATCTATATGAGGATGAATGAATAAACATTCTAATAATTCACTCAAGAAAGCGAATGTTACATTATTACAATAGGGGATTTCGCTATGAGTGTAATAAACTTAAGTAATCAAATACATGCATTAAATACTTTAGGTGAGGTTATGCACTACATTTATAAGGATGAAAGTACGTTAGTTTAGTTTAGCCTTCAATAAAGGTGATACAAAGTAATGAACTATAATGCCCCCAAATGCTCAGGTATGGCCGAGAGTGGGGTTGGTTCTCCCTCCCTCTCGAAATACTCTCACACGGTCACGCGTATACAGCCTCTGTCAGGGAAGTCCTACTCACTGCCTTCTCGTGGCGGGGGTGTTGTTCACGAAAATGAGAGGACGAAAAGCGAATGTCCGGCGCTTTAACCGGATCCCAAACCAATGGTGCACATGGGCTCCAGTATCCTGCGGGAACAAATGGCGTATGAACCAACCGTTGGTCACCGGCTCCCATGGGACTGCATCTCCTCAAGATGCTCCACTACCTTGTGGGTCAGACGTTTAGGAGCGTGGCCCCCTAAGAAAACCACCTGCTTCGGTCTGGGCAGTATCTCAGCCCACACACAAAAACATGATGAACCGTTTACTTATGAAAAATATTCTTTTCGCTCCGATTAGCAATCAAATGACTCGCATTATTATTACTATTGTTATTATTATCATTATTTACTACGTCATTTATTCACCCTCTTTTATTCCCACTCTGTGTATACTTATTTTTCGACTTATACAGCAGCTCGCCTATCGTGGAAATTCGGTTATATCTAAGCGTTTCCGAGTCACTGCCTGGTTGAAAATTGTATGCTACCACCGAATACGAATACTGAAGCAGTTTTTCTGAAACCACGTGCACCATTCAAACTGGCTGCCCTTAACGTTCGCACACTTATGCAGGTCGGACAACAGATAGGACTAGCTATGTCTTTGGAAAGTCTTAATATTGACGTTTGTTGTCTATCCAAGACTCTAGTGAAGTACGACAAGTTCGCTCTCCACCTGATCATGCCCTGGTCTGCGCCAATCTTACCTTACTTTTCAGTGGCCAACGAAGTGACCGCCATCAAGGGATTGAGGTTAGCAAGCTGGTTGCAACTTCTGTTGCTAGTAAGTACCGAACCGAGCTAGCTTCTAGGCCAGCTACCATTCCACCAAAAAGTATAGATGAGCATTGGTTGCAATTGCATGATGCCATGAAAATGGCGAGTAAAGTCACTTGTGGGTTCGCGAAACGTTCCGCTTTCAAGCACTGGGTTTCTTTAGGCTCCTTACAACTCATTGAAGCCCGTCGGTCTACTCCGGGTGACCGTGAGTTTGACCACAAACCACGGATGTTACGTAATGAAATCGGGCAAAGCTTGCGTAAGAACCGAGAAGCCTGGTGGTCAGAGCGTGCTAATGAGCTGGAAGCAGCAGCTGCATCTGGCAACTACCGGAAGCTCCTCCAACTCATCCGAGCCACTGGCAGCAAGAAGTCTGGTGTGAGCGAAACAATCTGCGAGAATGACGGAACGCCTATCACTAACATCCATCGACGTCTTGGATGATGGGCAGAATTTTTCGAAGGGCAGTTCAACTGGTCTGCTGCTCCGGCAACATCGATCAGACTGTCCTGCTCTCCATGGCCGTTGACGACTGATCCACCAAATGAGGTGGAAGTCCGCAAGGAACTCCAACTCTTGAAACGTTACAAATCACCGGGCCCAGATGACTTACCTCCGGCTCTTTTTAAAGATGGTGGTGACTTTCTGACTAAGAGACTGACGACGTTGTTTACAAAGGTCTGGGAACTAGAGAGTTTACCAACATCATGGAATGAGTCAATAGTTGTCCCTATCTTTAAAAAGAGTTCACGTCGTTCCTGTAACAACTATCGGGGGATAAGTCTACTTCCAATTGCGTCTAAGCTATTGGCTTCCGTTATACTTCGTAGGTTGTTCAAAACCCGAGAAAGATTGACTCGCGAGGAGCGGGCTGGGTTTCGTTCCGGTCGAGGATGTATTGATCATATCTTCACCCTCCGCCAAATGTTAGAACACCGCCATACTTATCAAAGGCCAACAATCCTAGTGTTTCTTGATATCAGGGCTGCCTTCGATTCGTTGGATAGGACTGTTCTCTGGGATTGTCTATTGAAGAAGAGTGTGCCTGAGAAGTTTATTAACATCCTAAAAGCCCTATATACAAACACCTCAGGCAGAGTGAGGGCATACAACCACCTTTCTCCACTATTCCATTCGAGCAGTGGGGTTAGGCAGGGTTGCCCAATCTCACCATTCCTCTTCAACTTTGCCATCGACGACATTCTGGAAACAGTTCTGGTGGATGTAAGTAATGGTGGTGTGGATCTGTCGCCTGGAGAAAGACTTCTCGACCTTGAGTATGAGGATGATATTATTTTACTGTGCAATAATGCCCAAGCCATGCAATCCACACTTAATCAGTTGACAATCAGTGTCCATAGGTATGGTATGTGCTTAGCACCTTCGAAGTGCAAAGTACTTCTACAAGACAGACAGGATTCTAATCCTGTACTCACTCTGGATGGTGAGCAGATAGAAGTAGTCGAGAAGTTCGTGTATCTGGGTAGCTACACAAGTGCTGGTGGTGGCGTGAGTGATGAGATCGATGCACGTATAGTGAAAGCCAGAGCAGCTTATGCCAATCTGGGCCATCTTCGGCGCCTTCGTGATGTTAGTCTGGCTGTAAAAGGTCGGATCTACAACGCGTCGGTGAGAGCAGTTCTGCCCTATGCTTGTCAAACCTGGCCTCTTCGAGCTGAGGACGTTAGACGACTCTCTGTGTTCAGTCATCGCTGTCTCCGAAGGATTGCTGACATCCACCGGCAACACCATGTTAGCGATGCAGAGGTTCGGCATCGTGTGTTCGGGCACAGAGACGATAATGCAATTGGTGTCACCATCTTGAAACACCGACTTCGGTGGCTTGGATATGTTCTACGAATGTCGTCCCAGAGAATTCCACGTCGTGCATTATTTGCCGACTTTGGGACTGGTTGGAAAAAGAGGAGAGAAGGTCAGTGTATGACATGGTGTCGTGGTATGAAAGAAAGCTGCAAAGGACTGGCTTGTGTTGGTCCTTCACAACTCCCTGGCTGGGGTCCGAGAGATGGTGCAACACAGTGGATACAGACGTTATCAGATATGGCTCAGAATAGAGGCTAGTGGCGATCCTGCTGTAATCTTCTTTTGCTCTCTTCGTAAAAAGTGGTTGCCTCTTCCTTAACTGAAAGATTTCCTCTGATTGTACCTTTTCGTTTCCCCCATCATTACTACTATTACACTACCTTAAACTAATCTGTTTGGTATTAATCTTTTTTTTACGCTCCTTACCCTCCTTTCTTTTTTCCCTTCTCTTTAAATTCTCATCATTTTGTGTAGCGCATGTAAATTTGGTGCCTTCTTGTACCAATATTTATGTGTTCAAATAAATAATAATAAATAAAATAAATAGATGTCATGAAGTTATGTAGTACAAAAAACCAGTAATATAATACAAACTTCAACCTTCATGAGCCAGCTAATAAGTAGCTGAACACTAGAGATGATGTTCCATACATTAAATCATTATTGTACTAAAATCTTAGGAGGAAGCACGGAATCTGACAGAAAATTTCAACCGAGTTTTTCCGCATACTTATGTGCTTCACTTGTTGGTTTAGAATATACAAAGAGTAAACTAATTGTATGACAAAGTCTTCTAAAAGGTTTTGAGCAACAAGGCTAGCGTGTTTTGGATGCTTTTTGCCCTCTAAATGAATTCTGTTCCTTCACCACTGGTTGGCGTCGACGCTAACCTATTGCTTTGCTTATCCTGTAAATCTTATCATTCCTGAGTGAGTTGGTGTATTTTAACGAATGATTTAAGAAAACTATTAAGCATTTGACTAAGTTGTCTGTTATCAGGTTTCAGCTCATGTTCAGATGATATAATACGCATATTCCGCTAAATCACATAGTCACAAAGACATCTTATGTAAATGTATAACTTACAATAGAAAAATACAAATAGTTTACTTACATCAAAATAAAATGTATCTGTTGAATTATCAGGATCAGGAATGAAAGGCATTTCTAAATCATGTAAATTATTCCAATCACCAACAGGTATTAACAAATCACTTGACTTTATTTGATTTGCAACTTTAAGTCTGTCTGCTTGATTATAAGATAGGAGGCCACTAATTAAGTTTACAGCTGCTTGTGAAAGTTCACAGTCTTTTTGTGGTGATTCATTTTTGCTAAAAGATGATCCACAAGTAGTAGTAACAGGCCAGTGTATATCTGTGAACAAACCATAAAATTTACAATAATGAAAAATATTAAAAAGACTAGAAATATTAGCACACAAACGAGAGCAACATGTAGGATATCACTACTTCCGTAAATAGAACAAAAAACTTTGTTTCAAAGACAACTCAGTAATTGGGGTGATACATTTAGCTTTGGGTTGCACGTTTTCTGTGAGGACTATTGACACTTGTAGCTATCAAAACGAAGATAAGTAGGGTGGAGTTCGAGCATACAGCTTAACAACCGCAAGTTAAGTGCCTTGGTTATTAAATTAAGCCTTTACACAATCTACTGAACGATAGTCTTACTGAATGTAGTAAAAAACCACTTTAATCCTCGATAATAGTTGGACGCGATGACTTGCAAAAAGATAAAACAACATCATTAAGCTCATTTGACAATACCATACACAATATAATAGAATTACTGATCAATTTTAATAAGATTATTAAATACAGTCCAGTGATATATGATATCAGTCATATTTACTTCATGGAAGTCCCGACCGTAGCTGCTACCTTGACGTGGTGGTCGGGCTTGCCTATCGTGATGACCCAACCGAGCTATATTGGCTGGAACATATGTTCTCGTAGGTTCTACTATGCCAGGCAGGTCGACTGGAGAACGGTAAGACTAAAAGCAGCAACTCAAGGTCTGAGGGCGAAGTCGTACCGCCGACTGTAGAAGTGTGTGACAGAAGTAAGGTGCTTCCCTCAGGCAACCAGCATCTGCAGAGATGCTGCCTTCTCACAGGAAGGACGGGATTAGAAAAGGTCGACCCTAAAAATTTCATACCTCACCTCAAGGATTTTTGTTTCCGACGGTAAGGTCTTCTGAAGAACGGAGCTAACATTTTAAAAACTTCACACAAAAAAGCCGTACGTGACCGGCCTCAAGCAGTTTTCATTTTGATGGAGACGTTAGATCCCCAGAACTCACTTGGAAGAGAACCTAATTTTGTAATTTTATTTCGAAAATTTGAATTTATTTGTTTTCGCGCCAAAAGAGCCGTTTCCACCTTCATGTCGTATTTCCCACTTGGGAGAATCTTAAATGCCGTTGTCTTTTAGTATGCTATTTTGTAACTCTCCCCAAGGACGGTTTTGTGATGTACATACCCGTTTTGATTTGTGCCTGTTGTTATCGCTCGTTTTTGGCTTTTGCGGAATATACTTCCCCATTCCAAGCTTGGACTTGTTCCTCTAGTTAGCTGGGCTGGAACGTATCGAATAGCTTGCTTATTGGTCTTTGTTCTGTTCGCAGATTAAGTGAACTCGTAACCACTTCAAACCTAGTACTCTTTGGCTCTGCGGTCATCCTCGCAAATTACTAAGAGCAACACTAATCCACCTTGTTTTTCAGGTTCTTTAAGAAATACCCTTCCACGGTATGGGCAGCCGGGAAGTGACATCAGCCCTCATACATTTAACAGCATACGAGACCAAGTTAGTCACAATCAAATCCTTCCTACACCTCCTAATAACTCTCTTATCTCCACGACTAACTCTTCTCACGTCCCTTTATCACCTCGCCCCTCTAGTGCAAACGATTCGAGAACGCGGAACGTTATTCATGGTTTCCTGAAACCACGCTCTAAACTACACGTAGGAGTTTTCAATGTCCGAACATTGTGCCAAATAGGACACCGGGCCTCCTCAGCTAGGACTTTAGAATCTCGCTCCATCGATGTGTGCTGCGTCTCCGAAACGCGCACACAGGATCCGAGTTGTGTCATTCATTTAACCTCTCCATGTCAAAGTAACGAACCAACCCGATTTACGCTTCGTGTATCTGGAAGCCCTGATGCTGCTTCCCGTGGTCTCGCTGGCGTAGGTATAGCATTGAGTCCTAGGGCAGAACTAGCTCTCTTAGACTGGATCCCAGTAGACAGTCGTTTGTGCGCTGTCCGACTAAATGGAACAGTAAGGACTCGGAAAGATAGGGACACTCGTCGTTGCCTCTTCGTCGTCTCTGCCTACTCTCCCACTGACTGCAGCTCAGATAATGTAAAAGATGAGTTTTACAGAAAGCTTTCCGACCTTCTCCGAAAAGCTAGGCGTTCAGATGTAGTAATAGTGGCTGGTGACTTTAATTCTCAAGTAGGTAAACTAAGCGAAAGGGAAAGACACCTCGGTGGATCTTACGGTGTCGCGGCTAAAAGAACAGATAACGGCGACCGTCTGTTGTAGCTATGCTCAGATAACCGCCTGTTTCTTGCAAACACTAACTTTAGGCATAGAGAAAAAACATCTTTTAACATGGCGACCCCCTAATTCGTCCCAACGTTGGACCCAATTAGATCACATCGCTATCAGCCACCGATGGAGGGGCTCGATAAAAGACTGTCGCTCATTCTGAAGCACATGCTTAGACTCAGATCATACTCTAGTGCGAGCGCGTATTTGACTATGTCTTAGTGGATGTAGAAAAGATGGTGCACGGAAACCCCTTAGGGTCCTACTTAATGATAGTCAAGCTAAGAGCATATTTCAGGAACAACTAGAAAAACAGTTAGGCAGCCATGTAAGTGATGCCCACCCTGAGGCAGCGTGGAATGACATCCGAAAAGCTGTAGAAACAGCAGTGATGTCTGCAAGTACGGTAAACCATAAGGTTAGGGAGAAATACTGGATCTCAGCAGCGTCTACCGCACTGATAGATGCTCGTAAACTCATTCCATCTGGCTCTGAACATAACGAAGAGCGGAGTCAGCTTAAGCGTAAGCTGACTAGAAGCCTACGCAATGATTGTGAACAGTGGTGGGTAGCGAAAGCAAGAGAGATAGAAAAGGCAGCGGCAATAGGTAACAGCAGACAACTGTTCAGACTTGTTAAGGAAACCGGTATTAGGAACCCAACTGTTAGCAAAACAATCGCAGAGAAAGATGGACATATTATTCATTCTCAATCCAGGAGATTGGATCGATGGGCAAAACACTTTAGGGATCAGTTCAACTGGCCTTCAGCCACACTTCGGTTTCCCACGATTTCCAATCTACCTGAATGGCGAGTTAATGTAAGTCCTCCGACTCTTTACGAAGTTGAAAAAGCTATAGGAAATCCGAGGCGTGGGAGAGCAACAGGCCCTGACAGGTTTACCCCTGAGATTTTCAAGGATGGTGGTCCAGTATTAGCAGCGAGATTGACTGAGGTCTTAGGTAGAATCTGGGAACTGGACATAATCCCATCTGACTGGTCTCAATCGCTGATTGTGCCAGTCTATAAGAAAGGACAAAAGTCTTCTTGTGACAATCACAGAGGAATTAGTTTGACTAATATAGTGTCTAAAATATTAGCTTCAGGAATACTTCGACGCCTAACCAATGCTCGTGAAGAGCAGACTAGAGAAAACCAGGCTGGTTTTCGACCTGGACGTGGTTGTATAGATCAGATATTCACACTACGTCAGATTCTAGAACATAGACACACGTTCAGACGCCCCACAACAGTAGCATCTCCCGCCCTTAAGGCGGCGTTCGACTCGGTTGATCGTGAGGTCCTATGGCAGTGTTTGTCAATGAAAGGAGTACCAAAGAAGTACATTAACCTTATAAAGGCTCTCTACTCGAACACAACTGGTCGAGTGAGAGCTTATGGCGAACTGTCATCAGAACTGATTGCCTCAAGTGGTGTTCGTCAGGGCTGTCCACTCTCTCCATTCTTGTTTAACTTTGTTGTTGACGTCCTTTTAGAGATAACACTTTCTTCATCTAAATTTCTAGGAGTTGAAATTCTACCGGGAGATCCACTTGTTGACTTAGAGTTTGCCGATGACATAGTCCTATTTAGTAAAGACGCTGACAAAATGCAGAGTCTGCTAACCACTCTAAGCAACAATGCAGGCATGTTCGGCATGCGATTTTCTCCCTCGAAATGCAAAATGTTGCTTCAGGATTGGGTTGCGTCGACACCCTAACTAGTGATAGGGAGTGAAGTAGTTGAGCGTGGCGACCGCTTCACTTATCTTGGAAGTCTCATCAGCCCTTGTGGTCTGGTGTGTGACGAAATCTCATTACGGATACAGAAGGCTCGACTAGCTTTTGCCAACTTGCGTCATTTGTGGCGTAGGCGAGATATCCGTTTATCAAACCAAAGGAGGTGTTTACTGCGCAGCCGTTTGTTCAGTCCTACTTTATGGCAGTGAAACATGGCCAGTAAGAGTAGAGGATATTCGTAGGTTACTAGTATTTGATCATAGGTGTCTTCGAAACATTGCTCGTATATCCTGAGACCACCGAGTAAGTAATGCAGTTGTTAAGAAACGGGTACTAGGTAAGGATGGCAAATCAATTGATGAAGTAGTGAAACTTAATCAGTTGAGATGGCTGGGACATGTGTTGCGCATGCCTGACCACCGACTGCCCCAACGCGCGATGTTTTCTGGTGTAGGAGTTGGTTGGAAGATAGGTAGGGGCGGCCAGACCAAAACATGGCAGAAATCCATGAAGTCACTGACAAGTGGACTGAGCCGTGTTGGTAGGTGTAGACTACTTGGTTGGGGACCGCGAGATGATAGCAACCGATGGTTAGAGACGTTGAATAACATGGCTCAAAGTCGTTTGCAACGGTGCAGGTGCATCCACTTTTTACATTCTTCCAAATTCTAATCTTCTGAATTCTTCATGTCCCTTTTTTCCTCTTTCCAAATTTATTTCACTGGATTATGCTTATTGAATAGCATCTTCAAACCCTAATGTTTTCGACTACTGCTTATACTTTGATTACTTCTACCACTACGGGATTTGAATGGACAATTGTATCTCTGTTGTAATGTAGTATGGCAACTCGAACTGATGTACGTACGTACGAAGTTTTATGTTGCTGCTGACTGACTGATTTCATGGAAGTATATTTATTCTGATGCGGAACAATAATGAAGTATTGTTTACTGAATGTAATTAAATTCTAACTCTTTACTCTTTTAGTATTGGTTCCTTTATTTCTTCAGTTTTGATTGTAGTAAAATCTTACGTTAATCACTTATATCATTTGATTAAACGTAATGCGTATTATACAGTAACTATTTGGTCAACTATATAGACCTGAGTAATGAATTCAAAAAACTAAATATCAAAAAGTGACCATCATGTATGCTATTAAAAAATTGGTGCAGGAAAATGATCAGAATGAGCCTTATCGCTAATAATAGAAATTTATAGGACATTCATGTAGATCTAACATGTTCAACATCCTAATCTATTTAGCACATCTCAAACCAATTCAGTCAAAACTGTATACCAAGGACTGCAATGGCGGCCTATTTGTTGAGGCGATCGGGTTTGGGCCAATAGAGTTGTAGGTTCAACCCTGTTCCACTCAGTCTGGTTTGGGCAGCCGGATAGTATCACTTATATGACTCAAAGACTAGTAAATAAACCAATACTTCATAAGTTACTTTATTATTAAACAAAGTACTAAGGATTTTTGCATAAAAATAGGAAATAAAAAATCTACTAATCAAAGCCACTACTGAAACATACCTAAACTTAGAATATTGTGAAACACATTTTCTACAGTTTCATCTGCAAATGGAGTTACACCAACTAACATTTCAAATAATATAACACCTAAAGCCCACCAATCGACAGCTGGACTATCGCATGCACTTTTGGAATTAGGATGAAGTAATAATTCTGGTGCCAAATATTCCGGAGTACCTAACAAGTGACTAGATAAGCTCTCTAGATTTGATATATTTTCAAGTGATTCTGTAGTAACTTGAAGTGAATCAATTGCTGGTGTGCTATTCAACGAAGTGATCAATTTGTTGTCAAAACGCTGATGTTTACAAGTTGAATTTATATGCATGGAACATAAAGGACTAGAATAAAGCAATGTTTGAGCAGGAAGATTACTTTCTGATTCGATTGAGTGGAAATTTCGAGTTAAATGTTTGTTACTTTTCTGAAACAAAGTTTTAATGTTTGTTAAATCAGAGAAAAATGGTTTCAAACAAATGACAAAATTACCGATCAAAAACATAACACTGGAATATGTCTTCCTGGTAAGTGATAAGCACATAATAGTCAAGATCCCCAAAAAATTAGTTAAACTACTTTACAGTACAATAAAAAGATGGACTAAAACAACCTGAAATAGTAATTAAATAACTTAATATGTGTTCTATCAACTTTGTATTACTTTATTTATATTATCTTTAAGAGTCATGTAAAACCTATTCAAATTTAGTCTTCAAAGAGGGTGTTCATTGTTTGTTTATCCTTTAATGTTGAAGAATTGTCAACATCTTCAATGAGTAAGCTAACCAATCCTTTATCCGCTAGAGATTATAAACTTAGATAACTCATATATTATAAAGGGAATGCACGGGATTGACACAAAAATAAATGTAAATAATTTTCATAAATTATAGACAGATGCAGGAGAACGTTTGGAAATGGTTTCACTTTCATGGTACCGAACGACTACCATCATAGTCGTTTACTGCTGCAATAGTACACAGAATATAAATCATTCAAAATACGGATTATAGATGCTTCACCAGTGACTGGAAACCACAACTATAAAGATAACTGATTTGTTTTAATTCTCTAAAAATATCAACCTTTTTACTTTGAAACAACCGACTCTATGACCCTACAGATGACGTATAAACTTTCATAAAGTGATGAATTGAGGAATGATTCGATTCACTAAGTGTATGCGTTACATGTAGAAAGTAATTTTCGGGAATTCCGAATGTTATTGATGAAAAAAACAATTTCAGTTAAACTGAGTTAGTTGGAAACCAACCTCTCCACAAATTTAACGAGCCAATCTTCAGTTACACATGGAACACAAGATGAATACAATGTGCATATTAGAAACAATCAATGGGCAGTATAACTTTGCCTTACTGAAATTTTCTGAGGTCATAGTGATTACAAAGCTATAACCTGATTATTCGAAAAGAGTATATGCTTAGCTTTCAATTCCCTTGATAACGAAGAGATGATAACAAGGAATCAATTATTATTTTCCAGAAAGTTGTAACAATCACCTAACAACATAAAACCCACTTTCTATCCTCATAGTTCAAATAAATCTTTAGACACATTACGCAATAATATCATGGGATTATCACTGAGACTACATAAAGAATAACTATAACTTAGATTTTCATTGCAATTTTAGTGATATCTGGGGGAAAATTCCGTCATTAATAATTTCATGCTATTATGTTGAACGAACTAAATTTATTAGCCTACACATGCCATTGGAGAGAAGGCTGGAAATACAACCAGCTCGTTATATTTTGCAAATATTGTCATTCATACTTTGCTTAAATTCAATGTTCAAAATGTAAAACAGGAAACAATGTGGAGCTTTAACTGAGATCATGAACCGATCAATGTTACACTAAAATCGAAAACCTGGAAGCACTGGACGGCCGTTTGGTCCTAGTGTAGAACTCCTCAGTAGTGTGCACTTACGATCCCGAACCAGAAACCTTCGGTATCGCACGCAAAGGCTTAACCTCTAGGGCATTGAGCCGGCATCCAACAATGTTAATGTTTAACTTCAACCGAACCACAATACATTTTTATCGAAACACTGATATGACGAGTCGAAATTCGAGTCAAACTAAGTAAACAAAAGATACTCACTTTAACTATAGAAGCGGGAGAATGGTGAGGAAATTTTAAAGGTGTATTAAGTAACACTGGAGAAGTTGTACAGTCATCCATCGATGGATTCGAGAGATCAATATCATTTAAGAAATAATCGCCTAAAGAAAATGAAATAAAGATGAGAAATATGAAGAATTATATAACTTTTAAGAGTGGGTACTCATCAAGATCCGTAGGTCGAAATCTGAAAGTGCAAAGGACGAAGGAATATCCGCAATAAACTTTGGATAACTGTGTTCGCCTGTCTGAAATTCAGTCATCAATAAGTTTAAGACAAGCTAACATGCATTTGTCAGTTGATGTGCTTCTGCGATATTAAGTGCATATAGAGTACGATTTGTTTGCTCACAAAACGCACTTTTCAATACTATCATGCATGAATGGCTTTAAATGAAAGAAAGAAACTGAAAGCAGCTCTATTACAGACTATGACAAAAGGTATTGGAACTGTTTTCCTACTCTGACCCCGAAGAATGCAAATAACTTAATTATAATACTACTATAGCTTTTAATCATTTAATCATATTCGTCTTTTTAATGAAAAGATTCAGCCCATAAACTTATTCCTATTAAACAATGAACTTTTGTCTCTGACAGGAGACTTCTGATACTCTAGAAACAGTTCCAAAGTCAGGAAGTGGTAGTGTGGTGTGCGCTATTTATATTGATATAATAAGTAGTATATGACGCGAGTTAAAAACGTAATGTCTGGCAGCAGAAGGTGAGGGAAGATCAAGAAAGGAAGAGCGGGAACACAATGGAATTTGTAGGAAAACGCATGAACAATGAAATGTCAGACAATGGATTGATGTTTGCAACAAGAACAGTTCAGTTTGATATGATGGATTGATATTTTGCAAATTAACGATTTACTATATGGTTTTTCTACTTAAGCAATTAACTCTGTAATTCGGTTATCCTCATCAGTGTTCTGCTTCCCTACAGTAGTGGTATGTATCAATCACTTGAAGAAAAACCTTTCGATCTTCGGTATTCAAATGACAGTCTTCTAGCGAGATGAGACATAAGTAACCTAAACTGCACCTAATCAGAAACCGTAACTGTAGCACGTATTCTAGGCCTTCAAAAGGTAACGTACTCCTCCAAGACTGACAGAAACTTGTGTCCGCACTTGCTCATTTGCAATGAACCGTTACAAGCAGTCGAAAAGTACGTTTATACAGGTAGCTGTGTGAGTGCTGGTGAAGGTATAACAGATGAAGTCAATTTACGTATAATGAAAGCCAATACGAGTCATCTTTAGAGTTGTTATGATGTCAGTTTGGTTGTAAATGGTCGGGTTTATGACCGATCAGTGAGAGTAATTTTCCCCTATGCTTTCTAAACTTAATCTTGTCAAGCTGATGGTGTTCAGTGACTCTATGTTTGGTTATCGTTGTCTTCAAAGGATTCCTAACATATAATGACAATACTATTAGTAATACTAAGGTGTATCACCATTTTTAAACACTGACAATGTTGTATTGGTCGTGGTTTACGAACGTCATCCTAGAACTTACGACATTCGGTGATTAAGTCGAATGGCCGCAACTCCTTTTTTTCTTTAAACAGCACTCAACAGTAATTAGACACAAAACAATAAATATATACACCTGATTACTTTACGTCATACAGCAATATAATTTAACGGTTATGGAGAATAATCACATTTCCACTACTATATGCTTACAAACTAAGATAATTCATATTTCTTTACAACCGAAAAATTTCCGTGATTGTACACACAGAAAACTGATAGTAAAAAAGATTTAATAGACTAAATAAACGAAAAGATAAACGTACCACTTATACCTAAACAGTGGGATAACGGTGAATGACGGAACAAGCTTAATCTGGCTTTTTCAACTGGAGACAACATATTTTCCGTCGAAGTATTTCGTCTGGAAGATGAATGAGGGGAAAAAATAAGGGAATCGGTTGGTGACCAAATAAAGTTTTATTTACTGTTAAATGAATTTCAAACATGGTTATTACATAACTTGTTTGGAAAAACAGGACAATGTCTCCTACAAAAGATTTTTTGCCTACCAAATACAGTAGAAAATCATAAACATTCATGAGACGCGCGAATAATACTAGATGATCGTATATACGCTTCTATACTAAGTTTACCAAGCGGGTAGTTACATATTAAGAATACCCTTTAATTTGTTTTTGAAAATCCTCTTATTGTCAATTCGTAAGATTACAGTGCAAGCATTAGTCTCGAATTCTTATCAGCTTACCCTTTGCAACTTACAGTTTTAGTCCATTAGCGTAATATCATAGAAAATTACTTTATATGTATTTATAGAGTCATCCCACCTTTCTTTGTGAAATGTACAAGTTCATCTGAGACGTTAATTGCAGATTACAACTTGTTAATGTTTAGGTGAGCAGACATCGATTTAATTACGTTTCGGTGAACACGATCATCTCTTCATTTGTGTGTAGCTATTATCCGTTACACTGTCGTGTTTATCAAAATCCTACTTTATTACCTGAAAACTCTGTAAGACACTGTTGTATAAGTGTAAATTATTCACACAAAACAACACCAGCTAAAATAAACACGTAGAAATAAAACAAACACTCACTTTAAACCATTTCCATCAGTCAGATTATATGGAGAGGAGTTCAAAACCAAATCCTGCATATCTCTATTTAAAGAAGAAATTTCCAAACACGAAGCTGTATCTCTAAGCATTTTTTCCATATTCTGACATCCCTGTCTGTGATATGATGGCTCCAAAGTTACTGATATTTTTGAGTTTTCAATCGCAGATAAGTCAGAAGTTGGTCCTTTTTTTGGACGTGGATTGTAGTTAAGATCTTGACGGTGACATAATTTATAGCCAGTTCTAAGAGAATTAACTCGACTGGAGTAACACGTCTGTTATAATTGGATATTATGTTAAATAATGAGCAATTAAGAGTATGTTTAAAGATATAATACGTTGTACTAAAAGCCTAAACTATATAATCGATTTTAATGAGAAGGGAGTGGAGGAGAATTTATATATAAAAAACTTGTTTTACAATTACGCCATATAAACATTGACTTAATCTGACAGATTATGTATGTGTTGTATAGGATGATTTAGCCATAAGGTAAAAACTTTCAAAGCTATTTCGCTAGTTTCATTTACACATACTGATTGTGTTTTTACTAAATATTTTGGTTTTATTTTCTCATTACCCTAATTTTAAGGTTTTATTTGGACCGTAATTTGTTGCTGTAGCATCTCTCACTTATCCAGCATTCCATTTTCCATCATTAATGTCGTTGTTTCGTGTTGATGCTGTTACCCAATTGGTCTAATGTATGGTCTGGTCTTGTACGTATATAAATGAATGTCTAAAATATAATAATGATCCTGGACTAGTGAGCATTGCTTTTGCGTCCCTCTACGTTTGGGGCTGATTAGTATTGAGCCAAACTCCGCCTGGAGCCCCTTTCCGGGGGCTACTGCCGGTCCCAAGCCCGGATAAAGGAGGAGGGTTGGGCATAGGGTTAGCGACCCCATCCCGTAGAAAACTAACTCGCTAAAAAAACGCAACCAGAAAAAATTATTCAAACCATTTAAACTCTGCCCTGGGAGTCAGGAGGTCTTCGTTTAGAAGAATTATGACGCCTCATGATGAAAGCCGAGTTTCTTCGGAAGTCACGATGCCGATGCCCCTTCTGACAACCAGAGCAACCATTTATTTAGGTACATGGAATGCTCGCACAATGTGGGAGACTGGGAGAGTTTTCCAAATTGCTGCAGAAATGAGGAGATACAATTTAGAGGTGCTTGGGATCAGTGAAACACATTGGACGCAAGTTGGACAACAACCACTAGCTTCAGGGGAGCTGCTGTTATACTCCGGACATGAACAAGAAAATGCTCCACATACACAAGGAGTTGCATTGATGCTGTCCAAACAAGCACAAAATGCACTTATAGGATGGGAATCTCATGGACCAAGGATCATCAAAGCCTCCTTCAAAACAAAGAAAGAGGGCATTACAATGAACGTCATCCAATGCTACGCGCCTACCAACGACTACAATGAAGATGCTAAAGATCAATTCTACGATAGGCTGCAGTCAATCGTCGAGAAGTGCCCAACTAAAGACCTGACTATTCTGATGGGAGACCTAAATGCCAAGGTTGGAATTGACAACACCGGATATGAAGTGATCATGGGACGACACGGACTGGGAGAAAGGAACGAAAATGGTGAGAGATTTGCAAACCTATGTGCCTTCAATAAACTGGTCATAGGCGGGACAATATTCCCACATAAACGCATACACAAAACCACATCGACTTCACCGGATCACAGCACACAGAACCAAATCGACCATATCTGCATCAACAAAAAGTTCAGGAGGACGATGGAGGATGTGAGAACAAAGAGAGGAGCTGATATAGCATCAGATCATCACTTGCTGGTCGCCAAGATGAAATTGAAACTCAAGAGGCACTGGACAACGGGGAGGACAATATCCCAAAAGTTTAATACGGCTCTTCTTCGGGATACTGACAAACTCAATAAATTCAAGATAACCCTCAGCAATAAGTTCCAAGTCTTTCATGATCTACTCAATGGAGGAGGAACTACTATGGAGAGCAACTGGAAAGAGATAAAAGAGGCAATCACTTCAACATGTCATGAGGTTCTGGGCCACAAGAAGCACCACCACAAGGAATGGATCACTGTTGATACACTGGATAAGATTCAAGAAAGGAGGAACAAGAAAGCAGCAATCAATACCAGTCGAACAAGAGCAGAAAAAGTCAAGGCACAGGCTGAATACACAGAAGTAAACAAGCAAGTGAAAAGGAGCATCAGAACTGACAAACGTAAATATGTGGAAGATTTGGCATTGACGGCGGAAAAGGCTGCCAGAGAAGGAAACATGAGACAACTGTATGAAACAACAAAGAAACTCTCTGGAAATCACCGTAAACCAGAACGACCAGTGAAAAACAAGGAAGGCAAGATAATCACCAACATTGAAGAACAACGGAACAGGTGGGTAGAACACTTCAAAGAACTCTTGAATCGACCAGCCCCACTGAACCCACCCAACATCGAAGCAGCACTCACGGACCTCCCAATTGATGTTGGCGCACCGACAATTGAAGAAATCAGCATGGCTATCAGACAAATCAAGAGTGGCAAAGCAGCAGGACTAGACAGCATCCCAGCAGAGGCACTGAAAGCAGACGTAGCGGCAACTGCAAGGATACTCCAAACTCTCTTCAGAAAGATCTGGGATGAGGAACAGGTACCAAAAGACTGGAAAGAAGGACTTCTAGTCAAAATACCAAAGAAAGGCGACCTCAGCAACTGTGACAACTTCAGGGGAATCACTCTTCTTTCAATACCAGGAAAAGTCTTCAACAGGGTATTGTTAAACAGGATGAAGGACTCCGTAGACGCCCAACTTCGAGACCAACAAGCAGGATTCTGTAAGGATAGATCGTGCACAGACCAAATCGCAACTCTACGGATCATTGTGGAACAATCAATTGAATGGAATTCATCACTCTATATCAACTTCATCGACTACGAAAAAGCATTTGATAGCGTGGACAGAACAACCCTATGGAAGCTTCTTCGACACTACGGCGTGCCTCAGAAGATAGTCAATATCATACGGAATTCCTATGATGGATTAAACTGCAAGATCGTTCATGGAGGACAGTTGACAAAGTCGTTTGAAGTAAAGACAGGTGTCAGGCAAGGTTGCTTACTCTCACCCTTTCTCTTTCTCCTGGTGATCGACTGGATCATGAAGACATCAACATCTGAAGGGAAGCACGGGATACAGTGGATAGCTAGGATGCAATTGGACGATCTAGACTTCGCAGATGATCTGGCTCTTCTATCGCATACGCAACAACAAATGCAGGAGAAGACAACCAGTGTAGCTGCAGCCTCAGCAGCAATAGGTCTCAATATACACAAAGGGAAAAGCAAGATTCTCCGATACAACACAGCATGCAACAATCCAATCAGAATTGACGGAGAAGCTTTGGAAGATGTAAAAACCTTTACATATTTGGGCAGTATCATCGATGAACACGGTGGATCTGATGCAGATGTGAAGGCACGGATTGGCAAAGCAAGAGCAGCATATTTACAACTGAAGAATATCTGGAACTCAAAACAATTAGCAACCAACACGAAAGTCAGAATTTTCAATACAAATGTCAAAACAGTTCTACTGTATGGGGCGGAAACCTGGAAAACTACGAAATCCATCGTCCAAAAGATACAGGTGTTTATTAACAGTTGTCTACGCAAAATACTTCAGATCCGCTGGCCGGACACTATAAGCAACAACCTACTGTGGGAGAGAACAAATCAGATCCCAGTGGAGGAAGAAATCAGGAAGAAACGCTGGAAGTGGATAGGACACACATTGAGGAAAGCACCGAACTGCGTCACAAGACAAGCCCTCATATGGAATCCTCAAGGTCGAAGGAGGAGAGGAAGACCAAAGAATACATTACGCCGTAAAATGGAGATAGATATGAGAAAAATGAACAAGAATTGGATGGAACTAGAAAAGAAGGCCCAGGACAGAGTGGGTTGGAGAATGCTGGTCGGCGGCCTATGCTCCATTGGGAGTAACAGGCGTAAGTAAGTAAGTAAGTATTGAGCCAACCATCAGGCATAGAGTATCAGTCGCCCAAATCCTTGCTGCGTATTGGTTGCTTAAGGCCTTCTACGCGTATTGGTTGATTGTAGGACGTAACAGTATAGAACCAAGGCTATGAGACAAATATACTTAAAGGGATAGTTGTATTAAAGCAGCACACATTGGTTTGCCACGAACCCGGAACACGATATCAGATACCAAGCATTTGAGATACTTAGAACATTACGGGATATGATTAGAACCGTGGTGATCGTGTTGTATATTTCATGCTCGGTAAGATGGATCTTCCGAATGAATAGAATAAATTTTGGTTGTCTTATCACTCATACTGTATTCTTTAATATTGATCTTTCTTATTTCCATTGAATGATTTGGTGTCCCCAGCACTGCCATGAAGACACCCATGGTCAAACACTTCCCGCTACTTTGACAAACAGATGAACATCTTACTTGCACCACAGATGAGAAAAGTGAGGAACACCAAGTGGATAATTTCATACCTGTCCTCCGAAATAATTATTCAAGGACATACTAGGGTTTTTTATGTCCTGAAGATGAATGAGTGGAGTTGAAAATTAATATTTTTCTTTCCAATATTTGAATGAAAATACTTCAATCGATAGCAAGTATAGGAAATTGAAGAAAAACAAAATGTAGCGATAATTCACCTGCAACTCATCTAAATGGATTTCCGATGTTTCAAAATTTTGAGAACACCTAACACGCGATTTTCTGGATATTGGTGACCAATGAACCAAATGTTGACGAAAGTGAGATTTCCATGATTTATCACCAAAATCACTAGAACTTCTGAATCGTCGCAAAGCACAGATATGTTGTTCATCGAAAAATGCTACAGATCCAAAAGAAAGTTCTGAAGAGGATTTATGCAATGAATTTGAAACATCGCAATTAGTAAAGTAATTCTAAAAGGAGAAAAAATTCATGTAGATTGATCAATTAGAATATCCTTATGTACTTGTAGCTAAAAACAGAACTTCAAATTACATTGGATCAGTATGTTTTCGACAACGAAATTATTTTGAATGACCACTAATTTTCCAAGATGGATGATTTGCTGGAGTACATTAAGTAATTTATATCTTCCGCTCTATTGTTAAAACGGTGAGAGGAAGCAGTCCTGATTCACCACCCCAAGTATTTTACATTAAAAACTCATGTTAAACAATCTCTGATATTCATACGAGTTGTTCATAAGATCCTGTATGTTTCTAGCACAAGCAGGCGCCAATCGATAAAAGGTTGGCGGTAATGAGAATTAGCTTTATCTGTGGGTCTATAGTAAGAAAAAATCACCATTATCAGTTTACTAGCACGAAATTCCAAAAATAACTCAAAAATGCAGTTGCACATGGCATCATCTAAGTACTTGTTCAATGAATTTACTGGCCAATACAATTCTATCAATAAAACTCAGATCCCACAGTTTCAGTAATCGGAAGATGAGAAAATGAATATTATAGATACGTGAAAAGCATGTCAGTTTCTTACAAAACCAATCACTAAAACTGTGAACAGATAGTCAACAACTAGGATCTATTTAAAAAGTATTACGCCTAATATATACATATATCAGAAACAGTATACTATTATGATTCTGAAATTCAGAGACTTTGATGAAGATTGTGTTCAATTCAAAATGGAGTTTTGGATGTTTGAAATTTGAACATCCTCTAAACTGACAGTGTAATACTGTTTTGTACTGTGCATTTCGTGATTTCATTTCCCGTTTTGAACTATGTCCGCAATGTGTAGTCTACCACTACTAGTGGTATTACCATTTTCACAACCTGACCTTCAATCTAGTTACTTTATTTTTTCCATGCTACAGTGAAGTGTGATAACTTCTACTCATACGATTCCTAGATTGTTTGTAACTGACTGCTAATAGTAAAGTCTTGTTATTTCACAAGCCCAAATTATTCGTGACGAAGACAAGGTGGAGCATTGACGAAGATACGAAAATGAAGCGAGTTAGACATTTGTTCGTGACTCAACAGTTGAAAACAAAGAGCTGCGAATGACTGTTCTACTTGATCTAGATGCTACAAGAAAAAAGGGTGTGGACATTTTTCGTGAGTGACTGACCTTATTCAAAACCAACCAGCAGCAACAGCACAACGAGATGGAATTTTCACGGAAAATCTCCGAGTAGTAGAGATAGTAACAGTATTAGTGGTAATAGAGATTGGGGGTCGGACATACGACTCGAGAATAGAAGTGAATTACTGGAATAAAAAGCTTTTATGGTATTCAGAAACTTGAGTTACAAGGAAAAACTAGGAGTAAATGCACATGCGTCATTGTAAATAATTCTCCAACTATCAGTTACCACCATGGAGAGGACCCCAGCCAAATAGTCTTCACAAACTTACATAGTTCAATCCAACAGTTAGTGGTCTCATGGACTGTACGCCAGATCTTAGTTTGGCCACCCCTAATTTTCTTCTAGACTACTCCTACACCAGACGTCACACATCAAGATAGTCGATAGTTGGGCAAAAGTAATACATGTTATGACCATCTTAGTCGATGAAGATTCACTATCTCGTTAACTGATTCCTCATACTTACCCATTACTTTGCGTCTAACCTCAGAATTGCTGACTCGATAGTCCCAAAATACACGAGAAATAGTTCCAAGACACCTATGGTCGAATAGTAGTAACCTACGAACATCCTCTACTCCTAATGTCTATGATTCACATCCATAAAGTAGAATGAAGCAAACTGCTGCGCAGTAAACGTGTCCTGTAGCTTTCAGACGGACATTTTGTCCACGCCACAAGTGATGCAAGTTGGCGAAATACAGCAGAGCCCTTTGAATTGCTGCAGACATTTCACGAGCCCTAATTAAGTGTTGGATAATTTTTATTTTAAACGAAATGTTAGTCAAACTGTTGTCTCTGTGATTAGCAAAAGAGGATTTTGTCCTCTCTTACAGACTGAAACGACCAGAGATTGAGACTAATTACATGAGATTAGGTCTAGATCCCAGACTCTAGTTAATATCTCCGCCAATCTAATAGCCAAAACTGGGTCGATGTCCTTAAATACTCACTGATTTGAATATAGATTGATGTTAAATAGGGAAGTATGAGTTTGTGGTTTATTTATTCATGAGCACTGTTTGAATACAGCTAGATTTCATTTATTTATTTACAGCTAGAAGAAATAAGAAAGCATTTAATTATGTTTCCGCAAGTTGCTTTTTTATTTATTATTTATTTGAGCACATAAATATTGGTATAAAAGGGCACCGAATACGTACGCGCCACACAAGTCACTTGATTTGTGTGTGGGCTGGGATATCGCCCGGAGGCCCAGACCGAAGCAGGTGGTTTTCTTAGGGGATCACATCCTGAGCCTTCGACCTAAACGTCTGATACACAAGGCAGTGAAATAACGTTAGGAGATGCAGTCCCACGGTAGCCAGCGACCAACAATCGGTCCATACACCATTTGTTCCCTGAGGATCCTGGAACCAATGTGCACCAATTGTTTGGAATCAGGGTTTTCCAAGTTCCTTAGGTAGACCTTCAGTGTCCACCAACCCGATTAAAGCACCGGAAATTCGCTTTTCGTTCTCTTAATTTCGTAAACAACACCCCTGCCGCTAGAAGGCAGTGAGTAAGACTTCCCTGATAGTGGCAGTATACGTGTGGCCATGTGAGAGCATTTGGAGAGGGAGAGCGGACTCTCCCCACAATCGACCGTACCGGGACATTTGGGGGCTTTTGTATTAGCTAAACAAATGAACTAAAATGTACTTGTACGGGGGCTTTGGGAGATTGTTGTGTGCTATTAAGATCACGAACCCATACGGTTTACGGGACCATCGAAAAGATGGAAGCACTTGGGAGCTGTCTCACTCTTCCATGAGATCCCTCAGCAGTGCGCATCCACGAACCCACGTGGGGTCAAAAATTGTTTAGTGTATATCACTCTCAAGAAAAATTGCTAAAAAGTAGATGAGGACTTTATGAGATTAAAAGAAATGTTACTCCTCGGATACACTTCGTCAGGACTATAGGTGTCTAGAATCATGTTAAAATGCTTCTTGACATGAAAACTATGGCGACGATTTTTTTCTAACATAGCGTGAAATGTATCGTGTCCATGATTTCACAGTTCAATATATAAACGAGCCACTAAATCCTTTAAAAGATTAACGAAAGTCATATGACAAGGTAAATAAGGGAAAAATTAGAAATGCTTAGTTGATTGTCAGTCAGTCAGCTACAACGTAGGACCAGGCACATATATGCATCGTTCAGGCATACGTAACACGTAGCCCAACCATTTCATTCGATGAAGATTAACAATCTCATCAACTGATTTACCATCATTTCCTAACACCCGGTGATCGCAGGAGATGCCAGCAATATTTCTAAGGCATCTGTGGTCAAATACTAGTAACTTACGAGTATTCTCTACTCTTAATGGCCATGTTTCGCTGCCGTAAAGTAAAACAGAACGAACTGCTGAGCAGTATATTTGTCCTCTTATTGATAGACGGACATCGCTCCTTCTCCATAGGTGACGTAAGTTGGAAAAAGCCAACCGAGCTTTTCGAATCCGTGCTGAGACTTCGTCAGACACCAACCCATTAGGGCTGATCAGACTTCCAAGATAAGTGAAGTTGTCAACGCGTTCGACTACTTCACTCCCTATCCTTAGTTCAGGTGTTGACGCGGACCAGTCCTGAAGCAACAACTTGCATTTAGAGGGAAAGAAACGCATTCCAAACATTCTGGCATCGTTGCTCAGTGCTACCAAAAGACTCTGCATTTTATCAGCGTCTTCACCAAACAGGACTATGTCATCTGCGTATTCTAAGTTGATAAGTGGACATCCTGGTAGGAGATCAATGCCCGAAAATTCAGTCAATGAGAGCCTTATTTCCATCAGTAGGTCTTTGATAAAGTTAAACAAAAATGGAGAAAGTGGACAGTCATGACAGACACCACTTGAGGTTGCAAAAGCAGATGACAGTTAGCCATAAGCTCTGACTCGACTAGTAGTGTTTGAGTAAAGAGCCTTCACAAGGTTTATGTACTTCTGAGGTACATCTTTCAATAACAGACACTGCCACAGAGCCTCTCCATCTACAGAGTCAAACGCTGCTTTTAAGTCAAGGAAGACCACCATTGTCGGACGCCGACAAGTATGCCTGTGTTCAAGAACCTGACGAATGGTGAATATGTGGTCGATGCATCCACGACCAGGCCTGAAGCCAGCCTGATTCTCTCGTGTTTGCAGTTCACGAGTCTTAGTTAGGCGTCCGATTATTGTTGGAACTAGTATTTAAATGCTATATTAGTCAAACTAATCCCTCTATGGTTATCACAGGATGATTTTGACTCTTTCTTATATATTAGGACAATCAGTGATTTTGACCAGTCAGATGGGATTTTAGCTAAAATGTTAGTCAAGCTAATCGCTGAAATTGCACCACCATCCTTAAAGACCTCTGGAGTCAATCCATCTGGACCAGCTGCCCTTCCTTGTTTCAGATTTACTAAAGCCTTTTGAACTTCAGATAAAATTGGGGGATCTACCTCAATGCTCCATTCACAGTGTCTGAGAATGAAAGGTAGTTGTAGAGTAGCTGAAGGCCAGTTGAACTGCTCCTTAAAATGTTTCGCCCATCGTTCTAAACGTTTAGACTGGGAGTACATGAGTGTCGTCTTTTTCCGAAATAGTCTCACTTACACTTGACTTCTTAATTCCAGTTTCTTTTAGTAGTCTGTAAAGCTGTCTTGTGTTCCCTATAGCCGTCGCCTTTTTCTTTACTCCTCAAGGTTGTTCCTTAGACTTTTGCTTAACCTAGATCTGATATGTTTTCGCTCTTTATCGTGTTCAGAGCCTGATGGGATGAGTTTCTGGAAGTCCATCAGTGCAAT